ACAGAAGTCTGGAGGCACCACGATTTATTAACACCTGAACAGGGCTACGGGCTAACAATACTCGGGGTTATTATAGACCCACAAAGGGGTCTCTATGTAAACTGATTCCCCGACGACCGACACTCCAAGACCCCCGAATCAACGCCGCACGGTGAGCTCTTCCCGCCAGACAACCACGATTGATCCGCCTCTGTCCATCTTATTCTCTTGAGCGTGGCCTCGCTCCGCCTCCAGCCATGCCCTTTCCTCGGTCTCTCGCGACGGAACCGGAGCCAGCGTCACATGTCCTCCGGGCCCCTGTTTCCGGGCCCCCTTCACTACTCCGTATCAGCACGTCCCCTCTCTCTCACTGGGACGGGACTCTGCTCTGTAGGGCCTGCTTCGCCGCCACGTCTCCATTGGCCCCATCGAGAGGTTACATGCACACTTATTTACCAGTTGTGTTTGTAGTCGGCTTATACGCCGTAGAGATGCTATTTACGTTTCTACAGATCGCGTAAATGTGTCGTTATTTCCGGCTGTTGCCTGATGATGCTGCTTGTAATTACCGGCAAAACTTCGTACTCGAATTGTAAATGTAGGTTTACTCTCTCTAACACACCGGTGTGCTAAACTAGTAACTAATTGGCACGTTTTATTTACGTGACAAACCTTATATTTGCACGCTATAACAAAAAAACTATATTATGTACAGTACACAGTGTATGGCATATACTGTGTACTGTACATAGAGTAGTGTCTGGAGCAGCAGTGCAGTGGTTAGCGCACTGCGCTCTGAATTTGACCCGGCGCAGTGAAGTATGGCGTGAGGCCTTCATTCGCCGGTTGACCGAAAATTATTAAAATTATTTTACGGTACAGAGCGATCAACTCATTTGTATAGTGTGTATAGGCACATAATATAGTACATGCAAATGCTATACTGGATGCAGTGATAAAAAGCACATAGTTTAGAATAGGTGCTCTCCACCTAGGGCAGTCGCCAGCCAAACATCATTTATGGAGAGGGCACGTTAGTTTCCTCTGTAGTAGTCACACTTTTTTTTTTAGGAAACAAAATTCGATTGCATATACATTGCAATTCTTTTTTTCACTGTAATGCAATCAGAAATAATTCGTTACAATTTCAAATTTGTGAAAGATCTACCCGGCTGGGTGCACCTCTGATGATACTGCGTTGTACTTTTCATATTCGTGGCAGCGTCTCGGTGGCATTGTGCGTTCAAATCATACGTGCCAAAATCGAATTGCGAATCTCTGCAACATGCTGCAAACGCTGGGCCATTTCACCGATCCCAGTGGCACATCATTCTGTTTACTTTCCGCCAAGTAATTGAGCGTTAACAGATGGCGCTCATTTTATGGGGCACAGTGAGTTGAGAATGTGGCAATATAACTGCACTCGGAGTTTGACCTCAAACAAGTTATACTGCTGAACTTACCTATATTTGCACAACACCTTTGTCATTTGCATTTTACTGAAAATTCACCTCCGATTAGCACGGTTGGCTACGTATTGTGCGAAATAAGTTCAACATACATAAACACAAAATGATTGTGAAAATAGTCCACCCCAAAAGTTCACCCTCGTGCAATATGCCATCGTATAACAGGGTTAACTCAAAACTCGCGTACCGTAAGAGTGGAGCAGACAACACGAGTCGCCGTTCAAATGGTGATAAAAGCACCAAATTCGGCACGTATTGTCTCATCGGGCAGGGGTCGGCGACCTGTGGCTCTGGAGCCACATGCGGCTCTTTAAAAGACTGCTTCGTGACGTTATTTATTAAGGACCACCGTATCGTATTCACCACATGAATTGCAGCTCTTGAAATATAAAGTTTTTTTTGTTTTTACTGAATTCTAAAGAAGTGGCCCTTGTTATGTTGGTTGCCGACCCCTGACCTAGGCTCACTTAAGAAAAACACCCGTTAGCCGCCTATTTTTGGTGGTGGCACTCTTTGATTTTAGTGGCCGTCTTACATTGTTATGTGGATCACTTTTCATCATCAAGTGACCCGAAGTAATAATGCGTGCCAAATGTGGTGCTTGTTTGAACGAATATTCACGTCATAATAATAAAACAATAATGATATTTATAATGCGCCAGATTTTTCAGACAAGTCAATAACTCAGAGGCGCAGAGCCAAGCTCAGGACTGCTCGGAAACCTGACCAAACACAGATAGGCCTTTAGATGTTTCTTGCAAGTAAGAATGCATTTGAGGTTGTGGATGCGCAAGGGGATCGAATTCCACACCGAGGGGGCGACAGAGAACCGACGTGTGGTTGTAACAGTTCGAGACCTGCTCCACTAGTCACAGCCAGAGGTATACTGTATGTGGTGTGGTGGGTGAGATATGAATGGTCATTCAAATATATATATCTTTGGAAAGTAACATCAAATAAGTTTCGAGTATTTTGTGGGTTCCTGCTTGGGATGTAATGCTAATGCAGGAGGTCGTAGGTTAGATCCCAACCCTGACGCCTGTATATTTGGAGTTTGCATGTTCTCCCCGTGGTCGCGTGGAATTTTCTTCAGGTCCTCCGGTTTTTCCCTCCACATTTAGAAACATGCTATGAGATAATTTGGCTGCAATACATTTCCACTTGATAAGCCACTAAGATGAGCTATCATTTGTGGCCATGTTGCTTCTTAAAAAGAGCTATATAGCTCAGTGGGGCCTTACATGGTAAAATTCCATATTCAGTGTTTCATTATGTGACGAGTACTCTTAATTGGCGGTTGCACAGAGGATTGCGCATAATGAACCCGGTTACCACAGACTGATTCCTCAACACGGCTAACACCAGAAGCGAGTGATATCTGAACCAACGATGACTAGTGTCTGTCGTTTTGTATGGTAAAATTCGCATGGTGCAGGGAGGCCTTCATCCAGCAGCTGATTAAGAAAGGTCTGCACACAGCATAATTTTTCACGGAATATTTTCCGGGTCGCTTGTAGACTGGCCAGCTGATTCCATCGCCCCATCTCTTGGTGGAACGAGGTCTCAGAACATCTTCTGCCATTGATCATTATAAGGTCGCAATCATTACACACAAAGTGCTTGTCACAAATGGACCACAATACCCTGCTGATCTCGTCAAGAAGCATAAACCATCATGTGAACTCTAACGAAGTGAGTTCCCAATCTAGGTTTTAAAAATGCATAGCTCCATTGGCTGCCTAATATCGAAAAAGCGTTCCAGACGGCCACAAAAGCGCATCTGAAAGCGCGCAATGCCAGTGACCGTCTTTGTTCGATGGCCAGCCAAAAGCCGCTGCGAGAATGAGCAGAGTTTGCGTGACCGTTTATGTCTTCTCCCTGCTGCACCTATTTTTAGTCTTGAGTCAGCAGCTACGTTTATGGTTGAAGCACGTAAATGCTACATGCGGAATTGGGGTCTTCCCGCAACCCTACCCACCCCATCTTCTTAAAGCCCTGACCCTTCCACTTTGGCCCCTGCTCCCTTCTATTTGGGCCCATTTCTCTGTAGGCACCGCATTTAACAAAGCATTTAACGATGCACGTGGTTGCGTTTCATTCGTTCGTTTAAATCTTACTTCAAAAATGTATTCGAAAGCGGAAGATTAGTGCTGGATACAACTCACATTTGTAAATGTGAGTTGTATTACGTTGATCCTTAACCATGGATCGGTAGTTCTACTTATTACTCTCATGGGTTGTCGCCTTGTCGTGGCAGAGACGCTTGTGTGCCTCCATGACCCAGAGAGCAAAGCCGGTGGGAGCCTCAGACTCCCAAGCAGGTCCAATCATGCCCCACTGGTCAAAGGGTAGAGGACAAATGAAATGGACAAGGCCCGGTCCTCCAGGTTGGGGGGGTTGAGGGTTGGGCGTGGGGCTAACAACCCCACCTCGGAAAAAAAATAACCAGAATTGCTATGGAGAGTTCATTTGAAATGTGTCATAATTTCATTGAGGGAATGTGTGTTTTTCTTGGTGTGATCCGGGATTGGTTTGGTTTTGCTGCTTTGTTCATGATTGCATTCGGTGTTTGAAAATCGGCAGGGATTGATGTGCTTATGCAATTTGTACTTAAAGACTATTTATTTTTATTTAGGGACCTGCTCAGTTTTCCAATACGTTGCACTCCTATCGGTTTTGGTATCGTTTATTGTTGTAACATCTGTGAAAATGATGCTCCTTAGCTCATCGGATTCTTCCAGTCTAAATAAAACGTCCTGGCTCAGGGAGAACACGTGCCGAGCCTAGCCAATCGTGACGGGAGATAATCCCCACCCCCATTATGAGACCTCCTTTGACAGTAGCAAGATATAGTAATAGGTTTTTTTGGCGTCTTCTGGTCCAACACCAGTGGAGACTAAGGGCTCTAAGAAAAGCCGTCTCGGGTGTGGACCAATCAAATTCAAGGACAGTGCCAATATCATTATCAGAGTTGTCTCTTTTTGTTTGGAGTTTGACTGCTTGTGTTGTGGTTATTGCAAACATGATGCCTTGTATAAAGGTGCCAGTTTTGGTGCCACATAAAAGGGTAAAAACCTATTACTATAATCCCCCCCCCACAACTTCTCCCCCCCCACCTTCCTCTCCACCTCCCCCCACAACGTCTCCCCCCCACCTTCCTCTCCACCTCCCCCCCCCCCCACAACTTCTCCCCCCCCACAACGTCTCCCCCCCCACCTTCCTCTCCACCTCCCCCCCCCCCCCCACAACTTCTCCCCCCCACCTTCCTCTCCACCTCCCCCCCCGACAACTTCTCCCCCCCACCTTCCTCTCCACCCCCCCCCCCACAACTTCTCCCCCCCCACCTTCCTCTCCACCTCCCCCCCCCCCACAACTTCTCCCCCCCACCTTCCTCTCCACCTCCCCCCCCCACAACTTCTCCCCCCCACCTTCCTCTCCACCTCCCCCTCTGTCCACCTCCCCCCCCCCACAACTTCTCCTCCCCACCTCCCTTCATCACCCCTCCCCCCCACTCGTTACCATGGACACGGATCGCGCTCTGCGCATGCGCAGTTGCCATGGCGCCGTTCAGTTTGAACGCGATGGCGCTCGCGGCCACGGAGGACTGGGTCCGCAAGCGGCTGCAGCTCGCGCACGACAACCTCGGTGAGGCTTGTCGCGCACAGTCCTTCACAAAGCCGTCGTTAACGTAACATCTACCGCGGCCGTGTTGTAATACTTTTAAATATACTGTATTTAAAATGTTGCCGTCGCCCTCCCCACCCACCCCTCACCATGTCCCGCGTATCAAACGCCCGTGATTACAATTCCCACGCGTTTAAGCGGCGCCTGCCCCGCGATTGGTCGCGGTCGTGGTGGCCCCGGCGGGGCGTGCCGCGCTGATTGGGCGAGGCGGTGCGAGCTGACGCGCTGCCGTCGGATAAGCCAATCGGAGCGGCCGGGGCGAGGCCCGCGGTGACGACCCCGTGACGGAGCGCCGCCGCCGCCGACGTCGACCGCTAATGCGGAGTGGGGATTTCAATTCGCTCTTCCCGGGTCAATTTCGCGCGAGTTTGTGGTGTTTAAAATTGATCATAATGCGATTCCCCGACCGAGGTTCTCACGATTATAAGACGCACTTTCCCCTGAAACCCCCTTCACCCCCCACCACTGAAGTAATTGTTTCTTTGTCCTTACCAGGTAAGGTCCCACTTAGCTATGTAGATTTTTTTTTCTCCAGAAGCGACCAGGCGATCACAAATGCTCGCCCAGCGAAGTGGTTTATCATCACTCTTTGGTTCTATTCGGTAAAGTCACGTAGGTAAACAAATTAAAACGACAAAAATCACGACGTTTCGGCCACAACACAAGCGGCCTTCATCAGGTGAAGGGACCAACCTGTCCAGCGGACAGCGTTGGAGTGAAGAAAGCCAAGCGCTGGTCGCCTCCCTTTAAGCTGTGAGGGGGCAAACAGCAAACGCCCTGACAAAGGAAATTAGCATGAAACGCACCACTGACAAAGCTTGGAATTAGCACAAGATGATAGATAATACACCAACCTGGGAGTTTGGAATACCACTACTAGAATAAATATACTGCACCATTGAAATTTAGATTTGAAGCTTTCGTGCCTGCAAGGATCCATACTCTTTGGTTCTATTAGGCATATCATCACCACGTGGACACACGTACAAGCAGCCACATGCTCTTAAAACCGCGTGACGTTGACTCTAAATGTGTGGTGAGCCACCGGCACCGGAGGACCCGGATAGAAATCACGGGCAGCGATGGGACGACACTCGAACTACAATTTAACATTCGCATAATGTCCTGTGATGCAGTCATTTTTAGCCCGTTTGATGGTCGGCGATGCGGCAATCGACTCATCTCGACGAGCTGTACACGATGCACTATTTAAACTATAATTTTTTCGATAACGGATTTTTGTTGTTATGCTGATGTTTGTCGTTTCGACATCGCGGAGTAGAGCACTGGTTTTTGGATTGATTGGTACCTCAGTCGCGGAGTTAAGTAACACCCCTGGAGGGGGGAAAAATAAAAATGTTGTCCCAGAAATAAAATATTTAATTGCCTCGGACATTTTATTTGGTTACCCCGGAGTACCGCCATAAGGATCAATTATACAGCAGCAGGCGTGGGGGGTCTAAAACCACGACATCCTACACACCAGGCGAGGTAGTTGACATCTCGCCACCGCGGCTCCCCGAAAGGCCTGTGACGGGACTGTATTATAAATGTTGATTTAAAGCTTTCGCGTGTGCAGTGATTCATATTCTTGGTTCTTTCGGTAAAGTCACGTTGAAGGGAAAACAATGAAATGATAAAAAATATATAAAACAATAAAATTCTCACGACGTTTCGACTGCAACACAAGCAGTCATCATCAGATCATCAGGTGAGGACTGCTTGTGTTGCAGTCGAAACGTCGTGAGAATTTTATTGTTTTATATATAATTTTTGTTATTTTATTGTTTTCCCTTCAACGTGACTTTACCGAAAGAACCAAGAATATGGACTGTATTATAGTTTGTGATGCGTCGTATAATCCGATAGTTGTGTGTGTGAGACCAAATTTCGATTTAAAGCTTTTGTGACTGCAAGGATTCATTTTCTTTGGTTCTTTCGGTAAAGTCACGTAGAATGAGAATAAAATAATAAAATAAAATAACACAATAAAATGCAAGCGGCGTTGTGGCCGAAACGTCGTGAGCATTTTATTGTGTTATTTTATTTTATTATTTTATTCTCATTCTACGTGACTTTACCGAAAGAACCAAAGAAGAGACCAAATTTGTTATAACGACTGTATTGACACCGGGTTCAAGTTTGGGCAGATGCATCTTAACATTCCGGTGCGTCTTATTGTAGTGTTCACCTGGATGATGCATAACATATAAACAGACGTGTACACAATAAGTTAGTAGATTATTTTAAAAGTATATCAAATATATGTATTTAAAATAAACGTTTCAACAGCCTTGCTACATCACATCTCGTGAACGTAATATTTCACGATGGCAACATGTTACAATTACACAAAAAGTTACAAATGATAAAGTATTAAAGCTTTCGTGACTGCATAAAATTACTCATTGGTTTTTTCGGTAAAGTCACGAAAAAACCAATGAGTAAGTTACAAATGGTTTAATGAGTTATCAAGTTTTACTAACCATTTTATAAATACTCTGTGCCCTCCACCTACTGTATGGACAACAACGAGACCGATAGTTGAATTCGTCCCTAACGCCTCTCAAAGTGTCTTCTTCCACTGAAGGCACCGCTGCCGCGATTCTGTTTTTGAGGTCATTCAGATTAGTCACTAATTGTGGCACAAAAACACCACGGTCTTTTGTGCCACCATGCTCTTTGACATTGGCGGATCAATGCCAAAACGCCGTTCAAACGCACGCTGCACCGCAATAACGGATGCAGTCTTGCTGAGCTGCAGAACGCAAAACCCCCCTTGTGTTGCAGGGGTCACCGTCTTGCGAATGAATGAGGCTAGGGGCTGTTTGTGCGCTAGGAGAAGCATCGAGCGTGTATCATTTGAAACTCTATGCCCCGCCTTTCAAGTGGTAAGAGTTTCATTAATGGGCGTTCGTGGTTGCAGAGATCTAGCGATTTCAAATCGGGTCCATCTTTTTAAAACACCCTGCATATACATGTTTCAAAGTTCTGCAATGCAACTGTCAAACTGCATGCACGTTAAGTGTACAGAAATGGAAAACTTGTAGCAGCAGCATCATCAATCATGATCAGTCTACTGCTGGATGAAAGCCTCTATTTTTCTCTTTTGGGACCGACCTCAAATTCCTCAATTTCATAATTCTTTACATACCGTGCCCAATTATTCAGTCTTTGAACAACTACAGTACAGTATTTTCTTTTCTTCATGGCTTTCAGTTAAAAAAAAAAAAACTTCCTTTTACTTCGCCCTGTTTTAAAGCACCGTCCATCACAGTGCTAGTTATTCTTTTTTTACAGTGGCAACAACCATTTAAATATTTTCTCTTGAAGATTTGAGTGTTAGAATGAGGCTTGATTCTGCTATTTCCTGAACTAAGTTACAGATGATAAATGTCTTGTTTTTTAAATTACAATTAGTTTTGTCCTCTGGCAAATTTGAAGTGTAACCCGAGTTTGTTTTGCGGAGGATGACATGCCGGGGTTGGGGTATGAAAATTAAGTCAATTTAATTTCAAGTTCCTCCATGTCCATTTCCAGACTCCCTGCTGGTTGTAAACATAAATGCTCTCTCTCCGATGCCAAATTCACCATCATCCTAGTGTCGTAGATTCAACTAAGTCGCAGACGTACTCTTTGGAGGCAACACATTTATTGGTACTGTAGCGCTGTAAATGGGCTACGTGCGCTTAGCTGCAGTAGCAGACACGGCCCATCAGGGGCAGTAACTTGCACCGGCATGTGGGTCGCTAGATTCCCCAGCCCAAAAGCAGGAGGGGGCTGCGGGGTGTTCTGGGATCCCCCGGGACCCCCCCCCTGGAACTCTCTGGAAGGGAGGTGTGGCCAGAGGCTGACAGACCTGGGAGGTGTATAAAAGCCAGACCTCTGGAAGGGTCCGGGGCCAGTCCAAGACCGAAGCCTTAAGACCAGCGAGCTTAGGACCCTGGGACCCCTTGCCCCGCTGCCCTTGTAAGGGCCGGAACTCTTTGGGCCAGTGGTGAGACCCTGGTAACCCCCGGCCCGACGTCCTTGTAAGGGCCGGGTCCGAGTGGGTCAGTGGTCGGGACACGTACCTTGGCTGGGTCGGGTCAGTGTAGCCTCCCCTAGGTCACTCATAGCCGGAGTTCTGAGAGCCCGTAGCCCCGTGATAGGGCACACTAGTCCGGAGGCCATACCTCCCCAGGCGGTAGTCAGAAAGGGCCGTTGCCCTTTTGAAAGACTTCTGTACCGTTAGCGTTATTGACTAAACGCGTTGCCTCGAAAGGATTCGTCTCCGCCTTCCGTAAACCCATTACAATACCAACACAAAGGGGTAACTGCCCCTTTACCAAATAACAACCTATGGTGGTGGACCACCAGGCTAACTACCCTAATTACACTGGGAGTAGCTACAACGGACAGAACCCCGGCTTGGGTCCAGGTCCACGTGTTAGTGACTGTTCTCGGACGTAGAACGTAGATCTTCAGGATAACAACAGCAACGCTGAACCCCGGTCCCTCTGGGGACCCGGTTTATATCCTCACTGGTCGTGGCTGGCTCCGCCCTTGGCCACAACCACCTTCTCGAACCGTCTAGCAGGATATCACCCCGACACGTGACCACCCCTAGCCCCCACTTGGGGCCCCTGTGTAGATCTTACCCGTCGCGTGCCTTCCAGGGTCAACCGGAGTGCCATGGCCTACATGAACCCCATTCATGGCCGGCACCCTCACACCCTCTCCTATAGGGGACAGCACTGCACGCCGAGCATGGTGCCACTCGGCGCTCTCTATCAGCGCTCACCGAGCCCCTCTAGGGCTGGTACTACACCCACATGTACGGGGTGTCTGCTGTGGCAATACATCGCATGCCGTGCCTCGCTAGAGCCGGCATTACCCAGTGACATCCACGATGTCGCTACATACGTAATGTCTGCGATGTAAGTACATCGCACGCCGTGCCTCTCTTGGTCCGGCACCAC